ATTATTCAGTGCACTTGCTAATAAACTCAGAAAAGTTACATCAAGATAATCAGCGAAACAGCTTTATGACATAAGAGGATATAAGGTTTGCATTTCTAAAAAAAAACCTTATAAAAAACTATTTAGTTCCTGCTAAGTTACTGAATAAATGAAGCATTTCTGTATTTCTGTAATTTATAAAATGCAAATTTTGTGCTCATTACTATGAAGATGCATTAGAGAAGTTAGATATTAAATTGGAGGATACATTAGCAGAAAAGTAATGCATAGAAAGCATTTTTATATGTTGGGAAGAAGGCTGAACAAACAGCAATCTGACAGAATGTCAAAAGGTACATTTATTTCTCTTTTATGTAATGTGCACTATGAGTGCTTGGAATCTGGTCAAAGTCGTCTTTTCAGGAATAGTCTGGGGCTCTGTATCCTGGCATGATTTCTGAGGTGGTTTGTTCTATCAACATTCAAAGGTAGGGAGGAAACGAAAAGTGAGTCCAGGCCAGTGAGGAGACTGGCACTGCAATGCTCAGTGGTATTCCATGGATGATAACTTAGACACACAGGCACACCTACTTACACGTGAGACAAGGAAATACGGTACATGTGGGAATCTCTGTACCTTGGTAAAGATGAAAGACTAATTTGAGGGATTACATAAGTATTATAACAATATTTCCCAGGGTAGGTTATTTAAGAGTTTATCAAAAAATAACAAATGTGGGAAAAGGTACCCTAATGTACTGTTTTTGGGAATGTAAACTCGTGCAATCATTATGGAAATAATATGAAGATTCCTCAGAAATTAAAAAATAAATCTACTATATGACTCAGCCGTTCCAGTGCTTGGAGTTTATCCAATGGAAAAGCAACCAGCATATGAATTATCTTATCCTCACGTTTATGGCAGTTCAACTCACAATAGCAAAGATACAGAATTAACCCATATGTCCATCAACCAATGACTGGTATATATACACTATAGAATACTAGTGAGCCATAAAAATGAGTGAACTCCTGTCTTTCACAACAAAATGGATGCAACTAGAAAACATTATACTTAATAAAGTAAGCCAGTCTGCAAAAGACAAATATCATATGTTTTACCTGGTTTGTGGTAACTAATATACAAAGTACAAAAATGTAATGTATGTCAACAAAATTCACATTTCAATATTCGATTGTTGTTGATAGCCCATGTCTATAATCTTGAGCAACAGTGAATTTTCTACTACTTACTGAATTACTATTTAGTAGAGAGGTTAGCTTTTAGTTATAAAGAAAACTGAAAGTATGTCTTTATAAAAAAAATAAAAATAGTGGAAGAAGGTGGGAATGTGGAAGTGAGGGAGGAAGAGAGGATAGGAGGGAAGTATTATGCACTTAAAGCTGTATATATGGAAAAAATAAAGTCATGTCTGATATAAAAATATATTTTTATTTGAAAATGATTTGCTGTGAGATTTCTAGCATACACTAAAATTTCTGTGGTTATTCTAGAACAGTGTTTCTATAGGACATCATTTGGTTTAAATATGATGACAGCATTCTTGTATATTCCTGTCCCAGTTCTTCCTGTTGATAACTTGCTGGTATCATAGCTTTGTTATACTTAAGTAGTACTGATACATTATTGTTAAATAAATTGTGGACTTTATTGAAATTAATTTAGTTTTGACCCAATGTCTAGTATTTGCTGCTGGGACATAGGAAAGTGTTTTATTTTCTGAAGCAGTCTTTCATTTTTCCTCTGTTATCTGAAATTGCCTACATGTAATGGCAACTTTGCAACAATGAGCACACCTGCTGGCTTCTATGATAACATTTCCCAATCAGTGGAACCAGGAATCCCTGGAGAAATTCTGGGAAAAGGACAGGAAACACACAAGATGGGGCAGAGCATCTTGCATAAAGAGTAAAGTACTCAAAAATGAAAATGCATGATAATGATATATCAAAGGCTACAGGAATTAACTGGATGAGCTCTCCACAGGCAAAACAGGGAAAATAGAGCACAGAATTATTTACGATCCCATGCTAATATAAATAGATGATTAAGTATATTTATAAACTTGGGAGAGGAAACATGTCTCCCATTCAGAATTTTTAATTTATATAACCATTAGGCTCTCTAGAATGGGGGAAGAATAACTTCCCATTCATTAAGTGTGAGATGCACAGTGACTTCCACAGAGCATGGCACAGAAAGGGAGAAAAAGTGTGTGGCTTGCAGTATAGAACCCACAGCAGTCACATATGTTTTCTCAAATTTTGTTTTATATATGTGTCACACAAATTTTCGGATGATATACAACTACAGTCTTAATGACTTGTGATTATTTTAAAATTTACTCTGAAATTGACATCTTTTCATTTGATTATTGTGTATAGCCCTTGCCTATATTCCTGTTGAATTATGGTCTTTTTAGTTTTTACTTATTGAACACTTTACTGAGTGAAGCATTAAATCTTTGACTGTAAAGTAAATTAAAAATATGTTATCTCAAAAATAAAAAAAGAAAAGAACCCAGAGCAAAAGTCAGTGTTTGCATTGTAGAACCCAGAGAAAGTCTGTCAGTTAGATGACGTCAGCATCAGCAGTGTCAGGTCCTGTTGAGAGCAGTTGCCTTCACGTGACGAGATGCTTCTTCCAAAGTACATAGTGCAGTCTGACCACGATAAGAATGTGCTTTGTGCTGTTGTTTCTTGGAATATTTTAGACATGTCAATTACATAAACTATAGACCAGCCTAGGTAAACCACAGCTTTACTGATTTTCCCCTGCTTGATCTCTGAATTCCTGAAGGAGTGGTGTTACCGTCTGCAGCAGTAATAGTGTACTGGCATATTTCTCATTTCAGTTCTGTCAATCAATAGATGGAATAGGGTTCTTTCAATGCTCTCTTGTGAGGTGAATACAAGGCTTCTTAGGTCTACTTGGAGAATGGATCCCTTTATCATTATGTAATACTCATCTTTTAAGTCCAAAAATTTCCTTGTTGTGAAGCCCATTTTTTCAATGATCAATACAGCTGCATTGGTATTAGCAGAGATACATTTTACATCCCTTTATTTTCCAGATGAGTTTTCATATTCATAGCAGATTTCTTGGGGCAGGTGTTTGGCTCAGCATTTAAAACACTGCTCGAGATTCCTGTCAGTTACCTGGAGACGACAGCTTGGGAAATCCTGTGTGGTTGTCTTACTCTGTCGGGCTTCCTCTGCGAAGCACCACAGCCTGGGAGGCCGGAAGAACAATGTACTCTCTCCCCATTCTGGAAGCTGAAGTTCTGAAACAAGGTGTTGCCAGGATTGGTTGCTTTGGGGGGACTCAGGTTGGCCTTTACATGGATGCCCTCTCTGTGTCCCTACGTGGTTTTCTTTCTATGCATCTGTGTCCTAGCCCCTCTCTTTCCAAGAAGCCCAGACCCACAGTGTTAGGATCATCCTCATAGCTTCACTTTTTACTGAATTAACTATTTACATATCTTATCTGAATATGTAATCCTTTCAACACAGGGACATTGGGAGGATCAAATACTTCCCATAATAGCTTCAACATATGAATGTTGGGAGGACCCAGTGCCATCCATAACAACATTTTTTATATAATCTATTATGTTTTTATTTCCTTCATTCTCTTATTGTCTTTGCATTTAAGCATCTGAACTTTCCATTCAGGTCTTTAAACTCATGTATTCTTTGAGTCTTTTCTCCATTGGATTCCTTCTACCAAGTTTATCATTGAGATTTGATTTTTGTTAGAGTACTTTGTGCTCAATCGGTTCCTTTTGATACTTAATTAGAATTTCTATAACTTTGCTTACATTACTTGAATATTCTTGTGTTAACTTTTTTTTTCATTAGAGTTTTCAACATAATAATCATGGACACTTTACTTTCTGTGTCACATATCTCCAATATCCTCCCTAAGGCATGTCTTGGTTTCCAGTTGAACTGTGAGCATGTTGTTTACTATCATAGGATGCAAATGTATCCTATGGGGATGGTATTCTGGATAGCAGTTAGACTGCACTTGATGTTTGCAATAGCTGTAAGTGACAGTGGCATCAAATTTCCATAGTGTTCTTGTTTTTGTCTCCCGTGTTCACTTTGTGTTCCTTTAGTATTTTATCAAAAATGGATTCTAAAAATTGTAGTTCCTTCAGCTGTCATCACCATTGTCCTATATCAAAGCCTTGCCTAATTTCGGGTAAGCCATGTGGAGAAGAGAGAGAGATTCTATAACTTTGTGATTAAAATTCTGCTGTTTTCAGTGGACATCAGCTCTGGCTATGGCTAAAGGTGTTTCCTATGGTGGTGCAACTTCTTCTCCTTACCCAGTGACTTTAGGAGAGTTAGTGGGGGCGAGTGTGAGCAGAATGCTCTCCCACCTGGTGCGATAAGCCCAGCTAAAGGCTTTTCCCTTGGAATGCAACCCTTTGTTAGGAAGAAAGCTCTGGACTACAGTGATATAACTTCCTCTCCCTCTTCCAGACCAATGAAGCCATACCTTTTGCACCTTTACAGACAGACCTGCAGAAATTCACTCACAGTGTTATGAGGGGAGCTAACATTGTTCCCAGGAGTTTTCTACTATTCAGCTACTCCACACTTAGCTTCCATAAAGAGTTCATTTATGGATTCAGCAGCTCCTCTCCCAGACATGCACATCTTGTGTTTTGCTCTCTGAATTCCACTGTCTTTCCAGGCTGTGGTTCGTGGTTTGATCTGCAAAGTCCGTTGTCTAATAGGTCTGGTGAAAGATGTTGACTTTCAGCTTGTTAATTGTTTTCTTACTGTATGAAGCAACGTGATGACTTCCAAACTATTTTTAAGTAAACATTGTAACTGGAGGTTGAATTATGATTTTTATTTTATATATAAGACATTTTTGTTTCTCTTATATAGCATTTTGCTGTTAAGCTTGACATATAAAATTTAATTATTATACTTTAATGAAAGCATATTGTATTTTTTTATGGGTTTAGAGGGATCCATTGCATTTCTGCATGAGTGAGATGCTTTTCATAGTCAATATTTTATTATGTAAAGTATACAGGATGGAAGCAAACCACAGAAACAAAATTTCTGAATTTATTCAAACTTTATTAATATAATTCACTAACCCTTTCAGTACAGATACAAAAATAAAAGAGTAAAAGCACCTTACCACATTTTTTTCATATTTATTATCATATTAAGATCCTTCAGAGTAGTGATAACATTAAAACTTTGTATGCTCAACACCTACCACAGTTTCTGGCACACCCTAGCAAATGTTTATTTGATAAATAAGCAATTGCGTATATATTGATAGGAACCGAATGCAACAAAAATAAGCAACAAAAGAGTGGGAAGTGAATGATCAGGGTTTCAACGCTCTATGCTAACTTTAGTCTTGAATAATTTTATTAATTTTGAAAAACCAATACCTGCGATTTTTTTATTTTTAAATGGAAGTAAATATTTTATGTATTTAACTTATATATTATTAAAATAGATAAAAAACTTTCTTGGAAAAAATAGTTACAGATGATACTGAGGTAAAATAGTCAGTAGAAGCCTGTTCTATGCTCTCCCCTCTATTTTTTCTTTTGTAAACCACTCTAATATTAAACAATATTAATAAAATCATATTTGAATTCATGTAGTGGAGCATCATGCTGTGGTCCATTTTGCTATTCTACTGCCTCACATACCTTCACTTCCTGGTGAAACTGAATATATTTGTGATTAACCCACATAACCTAATGACCATGTCATCTAAAAATAATCAAATTGTATTCACATAAGGAAAATACACTTCAAGTCAAGAAGATCAGAGTTTTCATATGCAAAACTGAGACAAGACACTGCATAGAGTTTCAGCATTCCCCCCAAAGTTGTCTTCTAAGCATTATCTCATATATTTTGCAGTTACAATGTTGTTTATTTAAATAATATGATGTTTTTCTTTAGTCTTAATCTTTAGAATCTTTAAGATCATTATATTTTCTATTTACTGAAACTGTATAATCATCTTATAAGTATTAAAATCTGAAAATTCAGAAATATATTTGGCATGATCAAACTTTTAAAAAATTATATAAAGTGCGACTATAGTTTTATTCTTATTACTGTTTGTCTCTTTTTTCATAATACACTCATATCAAAGGAGAATTACCCACTACAGTAAGCAGCAAATACTAATTAATAATTGAAAAGACTTCAACTGACAGAATAGTAAATCAACTCTCACAGTAGCTGAAATTTCACCTAAATATGTTATCCAAAAAAATCAGTGTTGGTTGCTTGAACGAAAGGCAGGGAAGTTCATCAACTTTTTTTTTTTTTTTTAAGTATTAGGTTCAGGGTTATTGTAGGTCTTAATTTATTCTTTAAGATTTTGCTCTTTAAATTATATTACCATAGTCACTTCATATATAAATATATGCATACACATTTATACTCTTTTTTTCTTGAAAATAAGGATGTTAGTATCACAAAATGTGGGATTCATGACACTGATGATAAAATGGGGACAGAAAGGGCATATAATCATGTAGATGCTATAACCCAGTGAAGCAACATGTTTAATTATCTACATACCTAACAATAGGACAGCCACACAACTTATAGACAACTACTCAGCCATCAGAAGGAAAGAAAACTGTCAATAAATCTTGAGTTACTCATTTTCTGTCTATTTTTTCTCTGTAGCACAGTATGGATGGCTCCCCAAGGGAAGATTCTTCAAAGTTACGTGTGAAATAGATGTTTGAACCATTATACTGTACTAGATCGTAAAAACACAGTGTCTCAAGTGAATGGGGTTGAGCTCTGGTGGTGGACTCAGTCATGTATTGTTGATATAATCACAAAAGCTACGTATATAATTCAATGATGTTTGAACTAAAAAAAAATTTATAGTGTTGGTAATTAGGTATATTGATGTCATTCTTATATAATTTCAACCTTACAACTACTTACATAATGTAAGTACTGCACAAGGCTAAAATATTTATGCCTAAAAACTATGTATCATCATTAAACACAGAACCAACTTTCCATACCATTCATTCACCAAACCACCACTGGTGTATTTATAAAATACACTGGGTACTGGGACCTTTGATTTAATGCCTCTTAATAATTTCATGTGTAACATTCTAATGAAAATACATGACTATATATGTTTCCTGCCTTTTAGAAACTGGTATCTAGTAAGTACTTCTGTATAAGTAATTCAATACAGTAAAATACCAAATAGCCTTAGTCATATTTTCACCCGGCTGCAATCGGAGTATATAAGGGAATGGTACATTTTACTAATGAGACGATAAAGAATAAATTCAAAGAAAGCTAAATTTTATTTGACTCATTGATAACAGTTAGCAGAAGTGTTGCAGTGGTAGCAGCAGCAGTAGTACTAGTAGCATAGTAGTAGTATCAGCAGTATTTTGGAGAGAAAATCAAGTGTGGAGGGTAGAGAAATATTTCAGACAGGAAATATGTTTTTTGCACAAGAAAAAAATTCAGAGTCACGAAAAGTATGTTTTCTACTTTTATATAGAAGGACTTATTCCAAAGTGAAATAAATGCAGTGGGAGAAGAGAATAGAGTAATAGTCAAAGGTTGCATTAAGAAAGACTTACATGCCCATTAACAAATTAAATCCCTATTCAATAGAGAGATTTATAGAAGATGTATATATAAAAGGCTTATATTCTCAATGGTCACTCTAGTGACCTCTAGTAGAGGATGGATTGGAAAAGTATCAAGGAGAATTAGATGAAAAAGATAAACTATAGATTTTTCACTAACACAGTAGCTTCAGTATTTAAAAAGTTCCATAATAAACATTTAAAACTGGTAGATTAAATAGGTAACTATCCTTTCAAGCCAAGCTAAACAGTACCAACGCAAAAGCAATCATCAGGGCCCAAAAAATAAGTAGAAATTGAAAAGCAGAGCCCATTACCAACCTTCAACTGAGGGAGGATGATGAGTTAGATAGTGGTGGGAGGAATAAAGTTGAAACCAACACAATTTCGCTAAGTGAAACACCTGGGTTCCAGCCATCATGTATAAAGGACATGAGAAGAAGGGTTCTTAGATATTTAAATTTGTAATAAAGATAATGACAGCAGATAAACAAAAGCATAAAGTGTGAATAGCAAAATTGAGTCAAGACGTCAGGACAGTCTCCCACCCAGAAAAAGTCATTGCGTAGATGAATCTGCTCAGGTGGGACAGGAAGAGCAAGACAAGAGTCAGACCCTCTGGATTCAAAGTCAAACACCTGAATCCTGAGCACTTGAAATGTGGCTATCCAAATTCAGAAGGGGACAAATGTAAAATGTACTGTATTTCAATAACTTCGCCCAAAATATATGTAAAATAATTCTATTAATGTTTCACTTTGAATATACTTAAGATTATAATAGCAGATATACTGGTTTAATTAAAATAGATTAAAAAGGACTTTGTAAAAAATGTGACTGTGAGAAAATTTGAAGTTACATATGTGGCTTGTGTTTATGAGTTACATTATATTTCTCTTGATCACTTCCTTCCTGTAGAAAATAAGGGTGTTAACTTCCTAAGCCACTAGAATCTATTTTGTTTCTTGTGTTTGCTTTAAAATATAAACTTTTTCAAATCCCCTTTTCAAAACAGAAAATCAAGTAATCCAACCTGGATGAACTATACTTATCTTCTAGTAATATAATGTGTACTTCTAAGACTGTCAGTTTTGTTTTTCATAATAATGTTCTTTTTAATATTTTATTTTTATTTGCTATTTATTAATGAGAGAGAGAGAGAGAGAAAGAGAAAGAGAGACAGAAAGAGAAATCTTCCCTCTCTTGGTTCACTCCCTGAATGCCCATAATGACTAGGGCTGGGGTGACCAAAAACTGGGAATTGAGAACTCAATCCGGGTCTCCCATGTAAATAGCAGGACCCTGAATGCTTCATCCATCACTGTTGCCTCCCAGGTCTGCATTTCCAGAATTTGGAATGAGAAGCTGTTGGTGGGTATGGAACCCAGACATTGCAATATGCAACCTGGGCATCTTAACCAATGTCTGAGAGGCCAAACACTCATAAAAAAAAAACAAAACAAAACAAAAAAAAACCAACAAACAACAACAACAACAAAAACAAAAAAAACTTCAAGTTTATTTATTATGCATTTTAGCTAATTTCATTGTACTTTATTTTATGGTTCCTTTTTTTGTATTAAGGGTATTCCATTTTAGGATGGGAAAAATATCACACTATAATAGAACTGAGTCTAAATTTTTTTGCTATGAAAATTGAGAGCTTTTTATTTCCATTAAAACTTATTGCTAGTAGTATATAAAGAAACATTTATTAGTCTCATTTTAATAATAGTTTTATTTGAATTTTGCAGGACTCCAAAACACTAAGCATTTTTTCCATTAATGCTATCTTGATTCTATAGATAAGGTTTTTGCTTATTTCTCCTGTTTTAATAATTTGAAATGAAGTATTTTTAAAAATACTGTCCAACCTACAGCAAATAGGCAAACAAAACTGTTTCAAAAATCAAGACTGTAGAATGTAACTTTTACATACTTCTTTGGAAAGCAATGGAATTTTGATCTTAGTTTTTGTGGTAGATGCATTTTGGGTATTATAGTTGACATTTTGAGGTTATGTTCTTTATTATTATTACAAATCATTTTTACAGGCCTTATTTTCCATTTGTTCACTCATTCTTGCACTTTTGATAGCTCTTGCAGGATTCTTATTTGTATAATAATGTGATTTGGAAGGGTAGATTATTCAGAAACCTGCCACGTAAACATTCTCATATTTACCTCCAGAACAAGACCTTACTCACATTAAGTAGTCCATGTATATTTAATCAAATATCGCATCCCATATTTATCATATGATAGCCATATTGTATAATAATAAGATAAATAGTACTGTAGTCATTTATTGGTTAAACTGATTACTAGCACAGGAGATAAATTCAAGACTGAAGATTCTGCTTCAGTTCGAATTTCATGTACTAATTTACCGCATTTGACTGCCATGTCCTAAATATCAACTGATTTGACATGGATATTCTAATTCATCATCCATTCATAGTTCATTAAAATAGCTAATGTTGCTTTCATATAAAAGAAATGGAGACATTTGTAAAAATTTCCCGCTAAGTTGCATTTACTAAATATTGAAATTATTATGGAGTGATTGAATTATACTTCTTGAAAATATCAGATAAAGGAAGCCTGCATATGGAAATATAAATCTGATGTAAGTGGAGGGGAGAGTGTTCAGCACAATGATCGAATATGCTGAAAGGTAAACTCTCAATTGGTAAAAATTCAGCTCATTGCACTCTACTCCTCAGTCCAAATACTGTACTTACAATCAGATGGAAACTCAGCCGTGTACCACCTTTCAATGTGTAAGTACATTTAGGGTCGCCAGGTGTTTTAGCATTCTTTCTGAGCTGAAATGATAATCTGGATACTGACATTAAAAATCAACTTGAGGTGAAATGAAGATATTCAGCAGAATCCTGGAGCAGTAAGAGATATACCTGGAGAAAATGTATTTTCAATAGATTGTCTATTTTGTTTTTCATTCTACCAACTTTCTAACCTGCTGTAATCGATGTTTTGTGTTCAAATTGATTTCTCAGCCCTTATGTATACGGGAGAACATGTGATATTTGAAATTTTCTATTGCTGAAATTTCAAGATCTGTTGGCTTTCTAGGTTTCAGATGAATTCAGAATCATGAATTATGAATATAAAGAAACTAATATCAAAAAAGAACAATGCACCTTATGTTTAAAGTGTGATTCCATATACTCACATTATCTTTTGCTCTAAAAAATGTATTTACAGCAGAGTTATTTTCATTATGAATTCCCAAATGCCTAAAATAACAGTGAGCAAAAAAGTTTGCATAGAGTCACTCCAGGAAAAATGTTCATGTGCTATATGTTTCCATATTTTTTATTCACTTGACTATTATGTTGTCTATTTCTTTCTGGACATTGCCGAGTAGCCAATAACATGGGATAAGGAGAAACATAAAAATGTTTGTGCATTGATCATTTATCCCTTAAATCTGTATAAAACTTTAGAATTTGCCTAGCGCATTTGCATATATCATATTCATGTCATCTCAGACAACGTTCTGAGGAAGGTGCACTTCTTTCTTTACTTCCAGGGGAAACCAGACACACAGAAGACTCATCAGCAGGTACTACCAGATCGTTTTATTCTACCCAGTAGGACTTTTGTGTCAACATCTGCCGGGCACAAGAAGACCCAGGTAAAATCCTAGTTAAGCGTTTCTTACCTGTGGCAGTAGGATATTTCCGCCCATATGCTGGCCCAGGGCAGAGCGAGCTGTGCATTAACAGAAGAATCACTGCTGTCAGTTTTCCAAAGCCCAGTGGGATTTTTGCATGCTGCTCGGAAGCTTTTGGTGTAAGTGGCTGTGGACAGCTGGGCTTCCGAGACTTCTGGGATGCATCTCTGACTTCCCAGCACAAAAGTCCTTCAATGCACACTATCTGTTTGGGTAATGTGGTTACTGCAGATGACTGATCATGGATGAAGAATGCTGGTTTTCTTTAATTTTTCAGGTATACTGTGGGGTACACGTGTTTTGTAATGTTAGCTGATTTCATTTCAGCATAAGCCTTTGAGTGCAATGAAATTTAATACAGAAATAGAATGGCTCATTTAAAGCCCAGTAAGGGATGGAGATTCATTCCAGAATAATCTGTACTGGAATCTTGGTCTTTCAATTTCTTGGTTTGTGATCTTACGAAATTTGATAATTCATTCAGAATTTATGTTTTTTATTTCCACTGAGAGAATGGGAATGATAATCCATAACAAGGTGTTCTAATAAGAATTAAGTGAAAAGAATATTTATAATGTAGCCAGAAAGGTGATGGGTGTTTAATATTTCTCTATGTTTTTCTATTGAATCACCTCCAATGGCAAGAAGTAAAGTTTAAATAATCGGATAACTAAAGGTAGAAATTTAGGACAATGCTTTGCTTATAGAAAACAAGAGAAATATGCTGTATCTGAACTGTGTAGTTATTCCTAAAATGCGTTGGAATTGAGTACCTACAGTCTTAGAATGCAGAAGTTCTGTGCAATGATTTTTAATACTTCCTTATTTTCCTATCTACGTCTCGTGTTCCTTTCTCTGTGCCCTGAAACATGGCTTTATGATCTCCACAGGAGTGCTGGGCAGTGCATTTGGTTAAATAATATTTAGATAATACGTACAATATAGAAAATATTTAGACAAGAGTTGAAGTTCAAATGACATAAACATGTTTTACAGATACAACCACAGAACTAAGCAACAATGAAATTTATGTTTATAGAAAAAAAGAGTATTATGTATCTATTATTACACCATAGGTAATATGTAAATTCAACTTTCAAATGAGACGTTTGAAGTTAAATTGGTTCATATTGAAAGAATTTTCTCTTCAAAATACCTTTTAGTAGCAGTTTCTAGAGTGAAAAGGTCTATTTACATTTGAACTAGTTATTTGAGCATTTATTTTATACTATTGCATTATAATTTGTGAATTCTAGAAGTGTTATAGTGTTGACTTTGGTAAAATGAGGGAATAACGAGGTTTTCAGGACTTGAAATGAAAATAGCTATGGAACATATGTTGATAATTGGTTATTAGAATGCAGAAAGAATGCCAAGGCAAGTTGCTAAGAAAATTAAGGGTTTTCTTTCTCTGTGACACACTTTACCACCACATGGATTTTTCTGGATGTTCTGATATGTTCTGGCATTTAGTTGGAAATTAGTTTATCTGATCATTTTAATAACGAACATGTCTCTATGGTTGGGTACTAAATACAGGTAATAAATATGCCACTGCCACTTTTATGCTGTTTACCACAAAAACGCAACCACAGACAAAGTGCTCTACCTAGATGGATTTTTCCATGAAGATAATTGAAAGGGGACTTCAAATGTTTCCATTAAAAAACCTTGGTGAATTTTCCCTAGGTTCTAACAAACTATATCAAAATAGAACTCATTTCATGGAAAAAAAGGAATCCCACAGCACTTCTTTTTAATAACTGTTCAGCTACAAAATTTTATTGGTATCTTTTTATGTTCCCTCTAGGATGTAATGCACAAAAGCATCGCCACGGAACATATAAAATTACAAACGAAATTTATTGTAAAAAGTAGAATGTCTTCTAGACTGGTGTCAGTATTTATTTCATTCATAAACCAAAACTGCAGTATAATATATTCATTGTCAGCAAGTTCATGTGTGTAAATTGCCATCCAATGTTATCGACGGATATAAGACAGATATTGAAAAGACAATTTAAATTTACTCTTCCAAACATAAACTGTTCCACAAAAGCACTGTAAAAACTCCTTCAAGGTTTTGGGTTGTGCTTGACATTGACGGTTAACTACATAATTTGGTCGTGTCGTAATCCATGGTGTTTGGCAATTTGGCATTAAACGCCTGCAGAGCGGACTGGATCCTCACCACCTCACTGGTAGACAGCTTGAGTCTATGACGAAGCAAGCAAGAGAACAGGTCTAGACGCCGCTGGCCCGGCGGGGACAGCTTATTTACACGGTCTCTGATCTCCAGGAGCTGCAAAAGTGCCGAGTCCTGGGATCCCTGAGTATACGGGTAGTCCAGCTGCAGAATCAGGTCCCGAATGGCTTCAGGGTCAAAGTGCATGCTGTAGCCAAACACTTGAATGTTGTTGATTTTCATGTAGCCCAGGTTCCGGGAGGGATCAATAAACTCCAGGGGCTCGTAATAAATGCTCTCGTTGCCGTTGGGGCCGTTGGACTTGATGCGACTCCGCAGGTAGATGTGCACCGTCTCAAAGAACGTCTTCCACTTGTTCCCCAGAGTCAGGGTCCAGTTGTAGCACTGCAGGGGCAGGTCCAGCTTAGTCCGCTCCCAGTCGGGGAAGCTGTTTTCACTCACAGGCATAAACCAGCTCTCCGAGTGGCTGCCCCCGAAGGGATTGATGTAAACAGCCAGCACTGGCTCCAAAGTGCTGTTCTTCGTCAGGCAGATCTGCAGGGAGAGGCCCAGGATCATATGGACCAGACTCGACTTGTACTTGTTGCTCTTCAAGGTGAGCAGCATCCGCTTCCGCCAGGAAGGGTCGAACCAGCTGTTGAGGCGCATGTCGTTGCTGATGAAGATGGCGTGGACTTCTATCCGTCGGTCTGTCTTCTGCAGCAGGTACTTCATCTCCAGGTCTTGCAGGTCCGTCTCAAACCCGATGTAGTGGTCGGTGGACTCGGCGACTTCGGGCTTGCACAGGCCCTGGCTGAGCATGTAGCCGGTGTTGCAGGTGCCGCAGCGCGTGCGGTTGTCGGGGGCGCAGGTCAGGCAGGCGGAGGCGTCGCCCACCGTGCAGGGCAGGAACGCGGTGCAGACCACCTGGTCGTTGGGACAGGTGCAGGAGTGGGTCTCTTCCGAAAAGCTGCCCAGGAGGCCGTTCTCGTTGCAGTAGAGGAAGGACTGGATGCGAGTGAGCCAGTAGGTTGAGGTTCTGGAAACAGAAAAAGACTCTACGTAAGTACACAGATGCCTTTTGTTTGTCCTGCAAAAAACATCAAGTCTTAGCTCCAAGCTTCACCAGGGTGCCTTGAGTTATTGGTTTGAATGCAATAAAAGACGTATAGAGCGTCTAATTAGATATTCATCATTGCACAATCCACTAGATGGTAGATATGGAAATGCTTGCTTCAAACCGCAATACTGTGTCTCTGAACATGTGACACCCTCTAAGGCCACACTCGCCATCTTATTAATACACTTGGAAGCTGACTGTAACCATCATTAGGTGGGTTATTGTCTTGAAATGATAACCAATAATAGGAAATGAAAGTGACTGTATCATAAATATCTACCGTAGACTTGGAGCATACACATGATTGTTTATTCATTTACTCTGAGAGACAAAACTGTACTGCTGTGGGAAGCCCAAACAGTACAAGAAAAGTGAAGTTCAACAGTTTCAAATAGTTAATCAGTGTATATTGAGGGTAGGGTTTTATCAGCATTGAAATAACAAGTATCTACTGAGAGAAAAAGTATTGTTAAAACATGTTTAATTTTACTCCTATAGTATGCTCAAGGAAATAGTGGGAAGAATGCAATTTAAATCAACAAGCTCTTTTAATAAAGGTTGAGTGTGTTCATTAAATGTGTTTGATTTGAGTCATTATTATTATTTCTTAGCAGGCTAATCAGGATGCCAACTTAAGATCTAACTTTTCCTATTTTCTCACATTTTCCAAACTCTTTTGGGTATTGAGAAATCTTAGTAAAGTAGTGAAGGAGAAGTGGTCTTTAATTGGATAATTCCTTGTTTTGACCAGGTTGCTTTCTCAAACTAGCTGTATGAACATGGGAACAGGTACACAGCCTAGATGATCTTCAATAGCGTATTGGAAAAATGCAAATATAATCTCTCCAAATTTGAGCTTTTGTGAAGAACAAATTAAGGCTCATATCATGCATATTATATTCATGTATGTTACACAGTATCTAACAATCCACATGAAAATTAATGTCTATTTTGGCATTTTTTGGTATAGCCTATATATTGTACCCAATCCTTTAGATTCATTAGATCAGTGCTGTTTCAAATGACTTACATGTGCACAACACTCACAATACAAGTGCTAATCTGATAGATGATCAAAACAATTCATTAAGATATTCGGAACAGATATTCATTTTATTTGAATCACACATCTATTTTTGGTCTTCGCCCACCATCCCTTGGCAATTTAACTATTTTTTTGGAGACATCACTCTTCTTTGTTTTGCCACATAAATGAAACAGCCCCTTTATTCTCCTCATAGCATCTACTTATTGCTCCTCCTAGTGCCTTGTTTGACTTGACAACTTGTTATGTACTTACTTCTCTTTATCCTTTCTCTCGTTAAAGACAATACAAAGATTGCAGAATCCTGCATGTTTTGTTCATAGCCACATATCCAGTGCCCATAAAATTCCAGGTCATGAGTCTTTTAACACTCATTGAATACTGAATAAAGCGCATGGGACCAAAGGAACATTTCTTATTTTTGTGTGAAACAGAAACCCTAAAGTGGACATTTAACGCAGATGGGAAGTCCTAACTCCCAGGTCACAGGCAGTGGCATTATACAACACACGCTTTGACTTTGCATGATTAAATAACACAAATGCCTTTTTTTGCTCAGCTTCTCTAATTGCAGTTGCTACCTATAGACCAAGAAGAAATGGACAGACTAAACCACATCACATTTTACTCTTAATCATTTCTCACAGTGAAAAAAACCCTTTTTGGGATATTAAAATCTATTAGATTCGTTTCATGATTTGAACACACCTCCCTAAGCTCATGCGATAACAACATGATCACCAGTGTGTCTAGGGTGGGAGATGGGACCACTTGGGAGGTGCCGGGGACATGAACAACACCCCCTCATGAGTGAATTAATTCTGTTGCCATGGGAGCAAGTTCTTTTTAAAGGGACTGGCTTGGATCCCTGTTGCTCCCTCTCTCTCTCTGACCTTCTGCCAGGGGATGGCACACCAATAAGGCACTCACCATATACCCTGGACCCTCAATCCGGTTCTTCCCGGGCTCTATGTGTATTCATTATAAATTAACCATTCTATGGTGTTTGGTTACAGAAGATCAAAACAGATTATGACAATTCATATCTGTTTCTTTAGCTACTTTTTGGTAAGATTTACTTATTCGAAAGAGTGACAGAGAGGGGGAAGGGGGGAGAGAGGAAACAGAAACAGAGACAGAGAGAGAAAGAATGAGAATGAATCTTCTGTCCTCTGTTCACTCTACAAATGTCCCAAACAGCCACATGAGTGGCAGCGGCTCAAGTAACAGGGGCCATTCCTGCTGCTTTCCCAGGTGCATTAGCAAGAAGCTGGATCAGAGGTTGAGTAGCTGGGACTTGAAACCTGCCCCCTTCCCATATGGGGTGCTGGCATCACAACAAGTTGCTTAACCCACTGCACCACAATGTTGGCCCCTCTAGAAGCTTTCAGGATAGGTTCTCTGCACCTCTCCCAGGCTTATGGCTGAGGATTATGAAATAACAAAGGTGTGAGAATTTTAGGCACTTTGTGAGCTGCTCCTCCACAAACGAGAATTTCTGCAACTCTTGTCACATCACAAAGTAAATATAGAAGAAAGCTTTTCTTCTGGTTTATGAAATAGCTTGATAAATGATGTCTATATATAATTTCACAATGCAGATTCATATTATGGATTTGCTATGTGTTAACATTATTTGTCATTTGTCATTGATGAGTTCATTCTACCTTTTCTCTTAATTCCTCCCTCCTCCTTCTCCTCCTCACTCCCTCTCCCCCATTCTTTTTCCACTTCTTTCTTTTCTCATTTGTACGTTCCTCTTTCCCTCCTCCTCCTCATTCCCCCCTCCTTGCTTGCCTTTGTCTCTTGTTCTATTTTTATCTATCTAATGTCAAGTACATAAAATATATATCCTATCTGGATTGAAAATTATGTTTTCTTCCCTGAAACCAAAGCACAGATTCTTTGAGCCAAGCCATCCCTCACTGTAAGCTCTAATCGTGTTTCCAAATCATAAGGACAAAACAAGAATGAAATAAATAGACCTCAGGCTAAAGATGGAGCTCACAAAAGTAGGGCACTGCAGAGAGAATCATCCGGACACTTGAGAAAAGTAATGGCTTTTCCAGCTTCCAGGCTCCTCCCATCCTGTTCACACTCCTGAGGATGCATTAACATAGGAAAGTGTGACGGCCTCTGGGGTTTTGATTGGCATGCGTGAATACTGATACCTGGGCACCCGTCAAAGGGAGGAGCAATGGGACAGAAAAGTGTGCAGGGGAATTTCTCAATTGCTGCTTCTGTTCCTTTCTTACCTATTACCTACCTCTGGACTATTTCACTGTATTTTGTAAAGAGGGAATAGATTTTTTCTAAGAAAAAAGAAATTCAATGATCTATGTTTTCTTTACTCTGTAAAATCTTGGTGCAAGCCGCAGGCAAAAATAGAGACTAAGTTTCAGGATGGGATAATGGATTTTTCTCTTACCCAAAAGTTCATATTCCCCTCTGCCCCAGTCCCTAAAGTAAAATTTACATATGTTGGCTTTTAAAATGTTTTAAAAATTACTGAAAAAATATTTGAAATTCAAATTAAGCTGTTTCAAACACTTTTTTTACAGTATGTTCTTTTATGCCTGTGTACTGAAACAAAATCTTCCACAGTTTATTCATAATATAATCTTGGTTCAGACAAAACAGAATTGAGACTGGAAATGCAATGTGGAAAGATGAACTCCATTCTGGATGGGGGGAAACAGCTGTTTTGCTGTTTTTTTTTTTTTAATCTATTTAACAGTGGTTCTGTAAATACTTACTGAATTAACAAAGGGAGAAAAGGAGAGCAGGATTAAGAGGGGGATGGGAGAGGGATTTATGGTTGAGGAACTATGGATTATGGAAGAGCAGAAAGAAATTAGGAGAGGACAGATGCAAACAGCAAAAAATCGGCAGGACAAACAGACCAACATGGGCCACCTCCAAAGGACAGAAACTCCTTACTTACTGTGTAACTTCTCACAAATATTTAGGGACTGCATAACAAAGCGGGAGATATTTTCCAGAGTGGTTCCAAAGTTTTTCTGGATTAAAATCATTAGGTAAAGTGCCATTTACATTACTGAAAATCATGTGGCACTTAATTGGAGGAGTTTAGACATCTGTTTAGCCCATTTGTCTCTTTTCAATCCATAAGCTTCCCCACGTATTTAGGCTCTGCCTTTCTCCACAGGATACAGGTTACCTGAGCATCAACGTATTTAGGCTCTGCCTTTCTCCACAGGATACACGTTACCTGAGCATCAATGTATTTAGGCTCTGCCTTTCTCCACAGGATACACGTTACCTGAGCATCAAAAGAGCCCTGGACTGGGAGTGTGAACACCTGGCTATATCCTGGAACCTTACTTAGAACGTTACTTAGACTCTGTAAGTTCCAGCAGAAATTCTAGAATGAAAACATGGTTCAATTTGATTCTGCATGACCCAGGGAAATGTGAATGAGTGTGGTTTTCTGATCCTGCATGTGTCCATTCAGCTGTGACTTCACCTGCTGATCTGAGGCCAGCATGAAAGGATGCAATATATGAATACCACCTGCCCCCGAGTCTCACGCTCGGCGGCTGCACCTAATGCAACACCATGAATGAAATGCTGTTTCTACAGTTTTTCTGTTACTGAGAATTGCAAATAAGATAAAGCCGTATCTGTCCAGTCTTAATGATGTTAACTGTGATCAGAGAACCAGAATCCTGGGTGTACCCAAGACACATCATGAGAATTTCTAGGAATAGGCCCAAGAAGCTCATGTTAAAATATATGATCTTAAGATAGCTATCTGAACACATAGAAGCTTCATGGTTCCTGGTTTTGCAGACTGATAACCACACTACTTGTCAGGGTTTCTTCAGTGGTGGCCATAATCAGCATGGGAGAG